ATTCATTTCTACTGTATTAATATATAACATGTTAATCTATTGTATTATGTAGAATCTTGTATGTATTTTACATATATGTGCATATTTGGTGTATATATTTTATATGTGTACATAAAGTTATATATATTTGAGATACAGATATGCAAATATATGTATAATTCAGGAAAATCTTCTCATTCTACATTTTTGGTTTAGTTTTTTAGACAGGGTCTCACGTGTCCCATGCTGACCTTAAGAATGCTATGTAGCCAAAAGTGGCCATGAACTTCTGATCATTCTTCCTCTACCACCTAAGCACTCTGATTACACATGGCACAGTCTATAATGGTTTAGACAGAAAGTGTAACTGTGATACTCCATTTGTTTTTGTGATTTAAAATATAATATTCATCACCTTCAACTTTGAAAATTCTGTATTTCTGTATTACTAACTGTATTTAAATGCACGTAGGTAAACACACCACATGACAATTGCACAAATGAATTATATTACTCTCACCTTCTACCCGCTTTAATCTCCCTTATACTATTTTCAACCTGCCCTCCTTCTTATAAACACCTTTCTCACATTCATATCACTTTGTTTGTGTTTGTGTGTGTGTGTGTGTGTGTGTGTGTGTGTGGTGTGTGTGTGTGTCCCATTGAGATTAACAAGAGCTGTGTGTATGACCACCAATTTAGAACAATTCATTAGCACCTGCTGAACAATTAAATTAGCATTTTAATTGGAATTTCATTGAATTTCTAGCTTACTTTTGGTAAGATGTTCATTTTAATTATATCAGTCCCAGCATCCCATGAACAAAGGAGGTCTATCCAAATTCTAGTGTCTTCAGTTTCTTTCCTCAGCATCTTGAAGTTTTCATTTTAGAGGTCTTTGACTACTTTGATTAAGTTTATTCCACTGTATGTTTTTGAGGCTTTAGTGAATGAGATTGTTTCCCTTATTTTTTCTCAATTATTTTTGTCATTGGCGTATAAGAAATTATTGATTTGTATGTTGATTTTGTAACCTGCTATTTTGGTGAAAATTGTTATAATCTTTAGAAGTATCCTGGTGTTGCTTTTGGAGTTTCTTATTTATAGAATAATATCACCTGAAAATAAGAATATATTGATGTCTTTATTTACTATTTATAGCTCTTTTATTTTCACTTTTTCAGTTTATTTTTGTATTATAATTTTTATTTTTGTGTTGTATGTATGTATGTTGTTCATGTGTGTATAAAAATTGTTATAATCTTTAGAAGTATCCTGGTGTTGCTTTTGGAGTTTCTTATTTATAGAATAATATCACCTGAAAATAAGAATATATTGATGTCTTTATTTACTATTTATAGCTCTTTTATTTTCACTTTTTCAGTTTATTTTTGTATTATAATTTTTATTTTTGTGTTGTATGTATGTATGTTGTTCATGTGTGTATAAATTTTTGCATGTGTATAGGTACATGTTTGGGGGTGGGTGTACATGTGCACATGTGTGCACTGAGGCCAAAGGTTGATCACAGATGTCTTCCTTGATTGTTCTCTAACTTATGTATTGAACCTAGGGCTCAATGTTTCAACTAGTCTAGCGAGCCTGCCTTTCCTGAGATCTCTGGGTTTCACTTCCTGAGTGCTTTGATTTCAGGAGGGTAACCATGATGCCTAGTGTTTACAAGGATGATGAGGCTCTAAAATCTGGTCATCACACTTATGTAACAAGCACTTTAGCCATTGAATCTTATCCTTAGCCCCTCTTTCAGTTTTTACTATAAAATACACAATAAGTTATTGTAAATTAGGGATACTGTATTATGACTGAGAAAATGTCAACCCATTCTTCCTATGTTACTACATTTGGTATACATTACTTAATCTCTGTTTGTATAGGTACTGAAATATAAACTTACATATATATAATTAGAAAATACTTAATTATATGTAGAAATCATATTTTAATGAAATGCATTTGAAATTTATAATTTTTCCTATAATAATCATGACAATAAATTGTAGCTCGCTATTACTTTCTACTTGCTCTGTATTCTAAATGTGATGATGTGTTATTTCCATGAAACATGTCCTCCAGTGTCTGGCAATGCATCTCAGTGGCAGAGTACTCATCTGTCACACAATATTCCTGACGTTCCAGACTTAGCACAGTAAAATTTAAAAACAAACAAATAAATAAATTATGGCTTCATACAAAATATACAGATCACTGATTATTCTTCTAAAAATAGTGCTATCATTTAAATGTTTAAAGAAATATGCTGCGAAGTTATTGATCCACTAATTGCTAATTATTTTTAAATTACCTGAATGGATTTATTACATGTGTTTAAACTCAAGCATTTCAAAAATAGAATATATTGTAATAGCAATATTTCCTTATAAACTTTGCATGCTTTAGCCACAGAGCCTTTTCTTGAAAATATCTAAAATATATTATATTTTGTAGATGAAATGCTAAAACAAGGTCTGTATTATACTTAATTTCCACAAGCCTTATGAATCTTTGTACAAATAGAATGGATGGTATGACATAGGTATAGTACAAATATATTAAGCGTCCTTGAGTTTTCCACTTGTGAATATTTCCAAGAATGTAGAACATTCTATGAAGAAATGTTTTCTTCTCTTAAATGTTATAGGTTGTGAATCCTATTGTAAGTAATATCTCATTTACATTGCTTTAAAAAATAAATAAATTTTCTCTGTTATCATTTTTCTTTAAAGACAATAGGAAAAATTACTGCTCAGAATGTTTAGAACTTATAGAGTCCTTATTGTCTACTTTGTAGATTTATTTGTGAAACTTTATTCCAATCATTTATTGATTTTTACTATGTAACTGAAGAAAATAGGACATATCATCACATTTTTTGGCTTATTTAAGCGAGCCAAATGATTTTGTAGTTATATACTGCAGTAATTTATTCAGTCCTATAATTAGTCCTTCATAGTTATTTGTATAATTAGTGCCATAGGTCTGTAGGTAATTATGTGCATTTGAGAAAGATCTGTAACTAAAAACATATTATAATCCAGTAGGAAGTATCCTCTCTGAGCAAATATATTATGATTATATAACATCACATTCATTTAAATTAAATGATGTAACTGAGTGTTTAAATGAGTGAGACTTAGGGTAATAAATGGAATAAGATAAGGGTTGTCAAATCTCTTAGAAGTTTCATATTCAAAAGTTTCAAATAGTGGTTTTGAAAAGTCATTGAAGTAGGTTACTATGAAGGACAAGGCATTTTCAAATGTGCACATGTGTGAGTTAAACAGACAAAATATAGTGGTAGAACAAATTCACTCTTTTATTCAGTTGAGATATTCATCTTCACCTGATATCAAACATTACTGCTCCTCTTGCCATTCAGAAGAGGACCATGGCTAATGACATAAGGTCCCCTGATGCTCAAGCCTTTGGACTTGTATGGAATTATATCACCAGATTTCTTCATTATCTAGCTTATAGATAATAAGCAGAACATAGTACTTCTTGTTTTCAAAATAGTGCATGCTAATTTTCAGGATAACATGTTGTGCATACCACTCATTTATTTTCTTGGAGAAATCTTAAGTAATATAGTAGATAATCTTTAAAATTATGTCATCTTGAGTTCTATTTCTGAACAAGCATTGTGAGGCAGTCACAATGTGAGCCCTAATTCTCAGTGAAATAAAACATATGAAAACTGTAGGATAAACTAAGGATTTAACTTGAAACTTCTCTAAAGATATATAGAAATCAAAAAAGATGTAAAACTCTGCAAATCTGTCACATTTCAACAATAATCAATGTCTCCCTGTCCCCAGAAACAAAGTTCAGGTTAATGGAAGCTCTACTCTACTGGCATTGTCAATACCAAATCAAGACTACCCTATGTTAGGAAAATTACCAACCAACACTTAAAATGCCACCCATCTCAGTTTACCATGGCAACTATCTGAGTCATATACTGAAACTGTCAAAGACTTCCTTCAAGAGTTCTCTCTCATTTTAAGTAGTGTATATTAATTATACATAATAATGGGTTCCAATGTGCCATTTTCACACATGTATATATTTCAATCATATTTACCCCAGTGACCTTGTCTTTTCCCTTTTCTGGTCCTGCTGATCTCCTTCTGCCTCCTAACTGGTTCTCTTTCTACTTTCATTTGTTTGGCAGCTATTGAGTTTAATTTAGGGTTTTTTATATAAGCATGAGTGAGGAGTTATTCTGAGGAATACTGGCATCTACCAGTGCCTATATTGCTAAAGACAATATCTTCCCCTCCCCAGAAACTGTCAACTGCTCATAAGTCCTTAATTAGGAATGGAAATCATTATCTTCTACCTTTTGGTAACTGCTAACTGCCTATAAGTTATTAAGGAACATGGGGTGGGGCTCATGAGCCCTATCCCTCAGCA